TGTTATAAGAGGAGGATTGTACATGTTTGGCCAAAGAAGAACCATGATTGCTTTAAAAAAAAAAAGTAATTTTTCATTTATATAATGTAGAGTAACAGTACAGTCAATTTTAAGGGGATATTTGGTTCAAATTGTTTCATTAGTTGTATTAAAGTAATGGTATTAAAAAGTAATTGCATTGTAATTTTAATGGGTTTTGTCACTGTTATGCCCAGTGTAACAAAGCTCAGTGAGGTATTTATGGAAATGCAATTGCAATTAGCTGATAAAGCTGCAATATGGAGTAAATGAGATTGGGAAAGGGATAGAGAGGAAGAATTTTGAAGCACCATCCCCACGTGAACCAGAGGACTGGGTATTGTAGGTGAGGAAGAGAAGGAGTATCCACAGCCCCGCTAAGTGCTCTCCCTGCACTTAGATACCTCACAGTCACGTCTGTGTCTGAGAACAATGTAGTCTATAAATCACACAACCACAAGCAAATAAATCATAATTTAACATTAATAAAAATGAATATGCCTGTAGAGATTTTGTCAGCCTTTAAGCATTTGCTGTTACGTTAGCCTTGTTGAGGCTTGTCAGTTGTAAAGTGAAGGTGAAATGAATGGTTACAGCAGATCCATTGTACCTACATTTGGTTCTAGTTAACTTGTGAATTTGCCTAGGTAGTACATATTACTCCTTAAATTAAACTTTTCGCTGTTTTAAAGTGGAAAAAAAAAATATACCGATACATTATGTTACAGTCCATTTTTCACTGATTTTCAGTAAGTTTCAAAATTTGCTAGTTGTTTTGCTATTAATAAAATACACCAAATCTCAGGTCTACCATACCATGTCATTTACTCTTACATGAATCTAAAATTTACTTACTGTTTTGGGCATAGTTCCAACTCACTCTTCTAGAATTTTTGTTTCTATGTATAGGGTGAAAAATTGGCAAAAGTTTAATCTACAGAGCAGAACAGTAGACTGAAATCAGTGGAGTCGGAATAGCTATAATTTCTGTGAATTGTGCTATTTAAATTAATTGGGGAGACAAAGAGTCTGTAAAACAGCTGTTCCCACTTTGTAAAGAGGGCATTGCTTATTCATTAGAATCTGAAAAATGGTTTATTGAAGAAATCCCTCCATGTTGGCTAAATCCAAGGAAACTCTTGTACTAGATTTGAATAGAAATGTAAACTGTTTCTTTTATAACTTTGCTAAATATTTGCATTATACTTTTGGGTTTTTGGGGGGTTTGTTTTTTGGGTTTTTGTTTTTTGGTTTTTTTTTGCTTGAGCAAAAGGGGTTTTTTTCTAGGTTAAATTGATCAACTTGCGTAAACTCTAAACTTCAGTCGAATGGTAATATTTTTAATTTTACACTGTTTCAGACTCTGAAGCAGTGTGTCATGTTATTTGTTGTAATAATCATAAGCTATGAATAAGCCAAAAAATTGATGGCAAATAATAAAACCAAAAGTGCAACAGATCTGTAGTGGCAAAGGCTCAGGTAATATTTTATTGAGGCAAATCTTTGGATTACAGTTCTGCGTTATGAGCGACTTTACTGTTGAGTGAGAAAGCACTTCACAGCCTCAGTTTGCAAACAGATAAAATTTAAAGTTCTTGTATTTAAAGACTTGGGAAGAACAAAGTGAAGTTAAAACTTTGAGTTTGCAAGCCAAACTATGCAGCAATACTTAAAAAAGAATTTCTGAAGCCAAACTTAGTTTTTATATGTGTGTAAATGTAGGGAAGCTGATCAGGTGGATAGTGTTTCATAAAATCTGGAAAACCAAGAGGGTAGAGAGGATGAAGATGATTAGAGAGAAAAACAAACATTGGTCAGTCCTTTTCATACATTTTTCAGGTGAAACAGGAAATCTTAAAAAGAATAGAGAAGAGTAAGAGATTTGCACAAAATATTTTGTCTGATGCTTTTCTCCTGCAGTGTGTTGAGAAAAAGGTGAAAGAATGAATCAGAGATTTATTTGTCCAAAACAGCAGATAAATTGTAAATGTGCTTTTGCCTGAATGCTTGTTGTGTTAAAAGACTGATTCACTGTGCTAGGTGTAGATAGCGGCCAATATACCTTGACTCATAGATTTAATTGAAATTACTGCTCACTGGTCTCTGTGCACATGATGGAGCAAATTCAGATGAACTGAAAACACACCTAAATCGCCAGATAAATTATTTTGCTGGCACAGGTATTCCTGCTAATATAGGTAGACAACATTGCTTGAGAATTGCACTCAAGTGAAACTCGCTAAGTGCAAGTAGCATTGAAGTGACTCATTCCTGAAATCGATAGAGTATGGGTTGGGTTCACTGCACGATTGTGGTAAGTGGCTTCAGTATTGCACATCCCAACCTGTGTCAGTACTCCTCTGAAAGTCATCTGAGATGGAAAATTTCTTGCTACTATCAGCACAGCTCATTATTTATTGAACGTTGCCCCCAGAGAATTCTGTTTGGTGCAGATGGATTTGGATGAGTCGTTCGAGTGCACCCTCAGTCAGTTTGCAGATGACACCAAGTTGGACAGGAATGTTTGAGGGTGAAGGCTCTGCAGAGGGAACTGCTCAGGCTGGAAGCCAATTGTACGATGTTCAACGAGGCTCAGTGCCAGGTCCTTCAGATACTATTTTGCTGAATATCTTGAGATAAATAACCATACAAGAATGTATAAAAAAAATTAATAGAGTATGGAGTCTGCTGTTCAACAAATATTTGATCAATATATTGATAAATGATTTTCCTTATTTTTTCTGTTATATTTAACTTAATTTCTCATGGGAATAAAAAGCAAAAACCTGGAGTCAAAAGCCAAGCAATGGGAAAGTATATTCCAGTTCCCAACAAATTTCCAAAATACTTTAGGATTGGAAAATTATTCTTCCTATGTCTATCCATTTCTCCTCATTTTTTTCCATATTGTTTCTCCTGGTTACATGAGCCATCCTTTCTTCTCTGCCTTTGTTCTTTTTTTTTTTCTAGATTTAGTAGTTCAGGTTTGTTTGGAGTTTTTTTAGATTTTTTTTTTTGCATGTAGATGATCTGTACAAATGACTCTAGATAAATTCTTTAATCACGTTCTGTAGTGTATTAGTTACGTTAGTTCAGGTTCCATTTTCTGTGATTTGGCCTGCTTCTTGTCCCATTGTAAATTAGTGTTTCCCCTCAGTTAGGCTAAAGGCAGGTGTTCAGCAGTTTCTGAATTCTACATTATCTGTTATTTTGTGATGGAGGAAAGGTGCCCAGTGGCCTGGATGTGCAGGAGGAGACAAGCATGGTGGAGATCAACGAGCACTCGTACACCGAAAGACCCAGTACCTGATCTCTGCGCTGTTAGTGACACATCTCACAGCAAGTTGCACATGAAGCAAATAGAAAGTTCTGAGAAAGAAAAATGCCAATTCAAAGAGGAAAGAAAAGGAGACCGCTTTTTATGCCTAGAAATTAAGACCTTCACCCAGATGGTAGAAGACTTGGGTTAGTTTCAGCTCAGCCGGGGGAGGGTTGAATTCACCTCTCCTATGTTCCAAAGAGTGAAATTGCTTCCACATCTGGGTGGTTGCACCTGAAGCAGAGTATGAAAGTGACAGCATAACTCTAGCCATGTGCGACAAAGCTGAGATTTTTAACATTTATGTTGTATTTACAGACTTGTTAATAAAATACATAAGCAGGTACGTACCTTGGAGCAGGTAACAGAAAGTTTTATGTGAGTTTTGAAAAGTATCATCTGGAAAAGAAAGACAATTGATGCCATCATCATCTGCTGAGGGGAAAAAGGAGCTTAATTGTATTAAAATTGAAGCTTAATGTACTTAAATAATGTTCCCAGATGTGTGAAGATGCACTTTTTTTGTAATATTGGGTGCTCTGAGAATCACTGTTCCTTGGTTTTTGCTTCGGGAGGAAAAAAGAGGAAGAATCTTGTTGCAAAACTTTAGTTTTTGCAGACAGAGGGGTTCTCAGAAGCACTAAATAGTTAGAAAGTGGGTGCATAGATATGTGGGAGTAAGAAAAAACTTTCATGTATAAACAAGTGAACCGGTATCCAGTATTTATACTGCTGATCACGCAGCACTTGATTGTATTTATCAATAGAAAATTTAACTATTGGATATAGTTCTTAGTATTATAAATTTTGTACCAAACAATCCAAATAGGATGAATTTCTAAACCTAGCATCCTAGGGCTAATAGGTGCAGTGTTCATAGACTTCTGGTCCCATGGGTATGGTTGTAATGTAGCTTGCTTCTGCATTCTCCAGAAGTTGATGACAGTTTCTCAGTTTACCTTTTCAGATTTCAAAATCTTCATAGTCTGACACCAGTTGCTATAGTCGCTGTCTATTCTGAATCATGCAAAGCACAGAATGCAAAAATAGCTTTCAATAGCAGCATGTAAAGCAGGGTTTTCCCTATCAAGGTCAGAGAATCCCTGGTCTTTACAAGCATGGTAGGACAGAACTGGACAAGATTTAAACATTGCTAACGTGTCATTGAAAAAGTACTTCATCTGGAATATCCAGGAGAACACTCCAATCAGTAGTATTTATTTTGTTAATTTTTTAGATTTATTTCTCTCTTGGAGAAAATATGTTTGTTCTATAAAATTTACACAGGTATGAAGCTGGGAAACTTGGTTTAATTTAGTTGCCTTTAATTTTTTTAAATTAATGACAGAAAGTAAGGATTAACAGAAATTTGTATTGAGATATACCATACAGTAATTTTTAGGTTTTTGCACAGCTGAAAGAAATAGCTAGAATATGGGGTTTGTGGAATCTTTTTATTTTGTTTTGTTCTAATTAATTTTAAATCATGAACAATTGATGCGTATGAACTACCTGTTCTTGTTACTTGTTCTTTACATATTCATCCTGTGGCTATGTGGACGTTGCCACATGTTAGAAAATGCTGTGTGACCTGTGATTCATGATGGGGCTCTTGATCTGTGTGGATGCCATATTTAGTGTCTTTTTATATTGTCTTCCCCAGTCTGATGCCATGGCATCATCAGGCCTCTTCTTCAAAGATGGCAAAAAACGCATTGATTACATCTTGGTCTACAAAAAGTCAAGTCCACAGGTAGAAAAAAGAAGCACATTTGAGAAGAATTTGAGAGCAGAAGGGTTGATGTTAGAACGAGAGGTGAGTCTTGTAGCTTATGTGTCATAAAAAAACCTTCCTAACACTGTAATACTTTACTGAATTTATAAAAGGTTCCTGACAATCTTACAAGCCTTTCACCTTTACTTACCAAACCTTGCATTACTTGAGTTTTTGGGAGGCTTTAATCAGACTCAACTCTATCAAAATATTTACTTGTAAAATCTCAAGCAAATACATCTGGGAGAAGGGCGTGGAACTGAAGAGTTCATTGGAAAAGATAAGTATAGGAACCTGTACTGCTGAAACTCTTGTTTTATGTACAAATGAATTAGTGATGTAAAACATTTGTGTAGGGTATTCCTTGTAATTTTACAAAAAAATCTCAGTTCATACAGAGATCACCTTTATAAGTTCCTAGCAGATATTCCAATTACTTAACCATTCCCTGGAGTTACCATTTTGGCAGAGTGGGACCTGCAGCTTTCTCTCAGCTGTTCTTATGTCTCTAGCAGCTGAGCCCTCTTCTCCTTAAATGGTCTTCAGACTGCTCATCTAAGATGATTTTGAGGGGATTTAAAATTAATTCATTTATTCCATGTCAAAAAATGCGGCATGAAGCCTTTCTCTGCTTCCGCTGTGTTTATGAGCAAAGATCTACAGACTTCTTTTGCTGGTTACTAGTTTACTCATATTACAGGGTTTGGGAAGAAAAAAAAAAAAGTTATTAGTTTTCTTTTGTCTGGCATAGAATACTTACAGTGTTTTCAGATTTGCATGACCCCTTCAAGCTTAAAAGCAGAATTTGACCCTGAAGAATGCTTTTAGAAAGGTGAATGCCAAAGAGGTTTGAATTATTAATATGCACCTATTTGTTGCTGCTCTTTACAGCCAGCTGTTACAGACAGTGATATCATGTTTGTTAAAATTCACTGTCCATGGGAGACGCTGTGCAAATACGCAGAAAGAATGAACATCAGAATGCCTTTCAGGTATTGTGGAAACTGTTTTAAGAAACTTGTAATTTAATGCTTAATATTAAAACTTCATTACTTAAGGCTAAAATGCAGACTTTTTCTGCATTGTGGCCAGTCATGCTTATATTTAATTTAGCAAGATGATATGGAGAGAGAAGAAACAAATAATAGGCACTGTTTTTTCCACATTTACCTGTGGTACTTGTTTTTAAGCTTGCCTTTCAAGTCAAATTGAGCATATGTCTTTAGAAAATTCTGTTAATAGTTCACACATTGGTTTGGATGTCCTTGGCAGAGTTTCAGGCATTCTCCATCTGAGCTCAAGTATTCTCCATGATTTTAGAGTATTTCTGAAGTCTTACCCAAAGGCAAGGGAAATGACAGAAATAGCTGGTATCTTCTGTGTCTCTAATATAACACTTATTGGCATACTTTGGAGAAAACGAGATACCCTTATTTCTTGGTCCTCTAGCATTCCTTTGGCAGAATAATGAACTGAACTGAGTTCCTCATCTATGCACTAAACAAATTCTATCATATGTTTTTGCAATAAGTATTTGTTACTTATTTGTAGGACCAGTTAATATCTCCTGCAGTAATACGTAAGTTTTTAAAGGAGAAAATGTCCCTTTTCAAGTTGATCAATAATGTTCTTCCAGAGAGAGAATAGCACGTTGTATGCTATAAACCTCAGCAAGAGTAAAAGTGGTAACGAGATGCCAAAGCTGCGTGACTCACGGAAAATACCCTTAGTGCACTCCTTTCTCACTTGAATTGCCAAGTGCTCTATCTTTCATATCCCTGCTGATTTCAGCTATCACAGTGTGGGTCCTCTTGCATTGGTCTTAAGCCAGCAACAGTAATCATGAAGCATCCTTTGCTCAAAACTCGCTTCAAATAGCCAGTTCTGTACTGAGTTTCCACGTGATCCCATTAAGCCTTCAAAGTCCTTTCCATAAAAAAAAAAAGAAACAAAAAAACAAAAAAAACCAGTCATCTTCCATATGTTAGAGAATATTATTATAGTGCCATCTCATCTTCTCCAGTTTGGATAATACTTGTCAACATTTTAAATATAGAAGTGTTTGCATATGTGTACACATGCACGTGAACAATGTAAGCTCCAAAAATAGTTCTTTCTTGCTTTTAATACTTGAAGTCACAAAATTAAGTTAGGATTTAGCAATGATTTGAATTCTTCATAATTTTAGTAGCTTCATAGATTAGTAATGCTCTTCAGAAAAAAAAGGCTGACTTTTGCAATACTGCTTTATTTGGAAGGCGTTCAAAGTCATGTTTGTTATCCGACATGTAAATATATTGTCTTTTTTTTTTTCCCCAAAAAAGTCTGATCTGTGTTTCTTTATTTCTGTTCTGTTATTTTATCTTCCTTTTATCCCACTCAGTTCAGTACATAAAAAGTACATAAAATGCTGAATTTTGCTGCTTCACCTTGTTGGCAGTTTTACTCTAGAATGAAAGACATTTATTTGGTAAGAAAGAAGCCCCCTGTCCGCCTCTACCTCCATAGGAGAACTGTGAGAAATAGTAAATTGATCACCATTTCTTTTCTCTTTAAAAATACTTTAAAAGGAATTTAAATGGAATTGCAACCTAAAACTTCAGTGAATATTTCAAATAAACTATTTCTTTAATTTACGTACTTTTTAAAAAATAAAAGTGAACAGTTTTATTGTGAACATAAAATGGACGTAGCAGAACAGAACAAAGGTCTGTTTTGCTCTGCCAGCAGCTAGTCTAAAGTGACCAACGCTGAGAAAATCTAGAGCAGTGTTTCATGATGCCTCCTCTCTTTCCAGAAGGCTGAGGTTTAGAGACTTTCTGAGGCAGAGTTCATGTCTTCATCTCTGCTTCTATTAGCCCCTGATGTCTTTTCAGGGATGCAAAAATAGCCTTCTTCACTTCCATAACAACATCCTGTGACCACGCATTTTATAGTTTAGTTACATGTTCTGTCAAAAGCACTTTTATTCACTTTAATTCTTGAGCTTGCTTATTTAAATCAAACTTTTCTTGACTGGATGGCATATATTGTTTTCCCAAGGTAACTATTTTCTCTGTTCAATGAACAGAAGAAGCTCAAATCGTACAATTCTCCCACAATTACAATGAACTACAGTTGTTCCTTTCCAAGAAGTTTTAGGTAGTCCTGCGAGGAGCAGGGAGTTGGACTTGATGATCCTTGTGGGTCTCTTCCAACTTGAGATATTCTGTGATTCGAAGAACAGATTATTTCTCTTAGTCTTTATCTGATTTATCAGTGGCTTCTGACTGTCCATTTTTAATATATAATTGAAGAAGAGAGCTAACCTTGCCTGTAGTACTTTAATGCTGTAAATCCTTGTTCTCTTGCACAGTGTTGCAAAATTTTGGCTTTTGGTTATGGTCACTAAAATGTACTGTATATATGTACTGTATAAAGCCTTTCCTTAGGGCTGTGTGTTGTTCTTCAGTTGGGTACAAAACATCAAGGGAAGGTGATGATGTACCCCTTCAGAGAATGAAGATACTATCTAATGGCAATAAGTGCTTATGGTATTCAATGCATAGAGCACATAAGGCATTTAATAGCCTGTTAATTCTTCTAAAATTAGTTTCATGAACTAAAAGCTAAGGAGGACCACATGAAATGAATTATACCATTGGACACTTTCTGATGAGTGTCTTATGAATTATTTATTAGCTATTATTATTTTTAGCTGCAAATCTAAAATGTAATTTTGACTTGGGAACAAATTTTGAACTTGAAAATATGTGAAATCACAGCATTTTAATGACTTATTCTATTTCAGTTGTCTTTTTTAAGTGTTTTTCCCATTTCTGCCTATGAAAATGCATGTTTTAAAATGTCTGGTGTCTTATTTTAATGGTCCAGCTTCTTTTATAATGTATATGTCCTTGTCAACTGTCTCCTACTTGATTATTCTCAGCTGATTTTTGCTGTTCTTTCAGGAAAAAATGTTATTACACTGACTGGAGGAGCAAAACCATGGGCAGGTTGGTGGGTGATATGTAGCTTCTAATTTTGTCAGATAGTCACCCTGCTAAAGAAAATCCATTTGCAGTTGTAAATTTATCCAGGAAACTTGGAAAATTAGATTATTTTCCTGAAAATTCAAACTATGTTAGCTCAAAGTGTTAAAATATTCATCTGTAACAAGATGCAGTACTTAAAGCTTTGCCAGTTCTCATTTTAGAAATGCATAAGTGTTTATGCCAGGAAAAAAAAAAAAAAAAAAGAAAAGGTTTTATCCTGGCAGCAAAGATTTAATACTGGAGCCATCTCTACAGTTATGTCTGCTGTTACCAAGGCATATTTCTTTAGCATGGAAGATACTTTCGAGTGTATGTCTCAGATTCTAGTAGTCTGCTCTCTCCTTAGATGTGCAGATGTAACTTCTCTCATGTGTGTCCTGGTGATCAGGACTACATCAGTGTCACACATCCAAGGCTGTTTTGCATTTTTATTTGATAGCTGAGAGAATAACTTGTGAGCTGCAGTAAAAGCTGTATAACTACATGGGAGGCAGATGCATGCAAACCTCACCAGTGGCTGCTGTCCTTGTTGCTCGTTCTGTCAGCCGGGAGAAGGGTACAAGAGGCCACAGCAGTGGGTGAAAGGAGCCTGGGGGAGCTGGGGAGCAAGAACGGGGAACACCCTGAGCTGTAATCACTCCCCATTGCTGTAGTCAGACATAATGATATCTTTTAAATCCTAATTACCTACGGAAGAGATATGAACTTTTTTACATGAGGGAAATCTCGCGAAAGAGTTTTCCATCACGAGTTTTCTCAAGATGGATCTTGAGATGAGATTGCATTTGATTTAGCTTCTCCTGTTGTTACTTTAGATGATGAAGAGCTCTCATTATTTCGCAGGAACAATTTAAGTAGTCTCATGATATCAGTTTGCAAGAACATCAGCTAACAAGAATAGACAAAGCACGGTTGAACAGTAAAGTAAGAAAACTTTAAACACATAAGCAGCTGAAATATATAGAAATAAAACAATCTATAACATAAATTTACAACTGCATTTTTTCCTCTTCCCAGCCATTCATATGCTTGCTCCATTTTCATGTGCATTATGAAAAATGTAAGTGATGTGCTTTGTAAAGCAAAAGCAAAATCAATAAGCTCTAGTGCAAAATTGTCTCATTTCATTTGTAATCCACCTGGTGAGTCCTAGATACTAAATACATTTATTTTCCTTATTTAGAAGGACAGATGTCTGAAACATGCAATTGAAATTGCACAGTACCTGTGAACCAAGTAATAAACACTTTTTCTGCCAGATTGATTTTTAATTCGAGACAAATGTTTTTACTTGTGAGAATTAGGGGATGAATATTTTTCTGAATATTTTCTCTGCCACTTTATACAATCCAGTGCACGAAGGAATAGTGTGCAGAAGAAGAAAAAGAAGTTATCTCTAAAAATGAAAGCTGACTCTAAAATTGCTGTCATACACATCTCACCGTTTTAACTTTTACTGCTGTCATTGTTTCTTTGCATCTTACAACTTTTCAAACTGCTTTTCTGAAATCTATCAAATCTCTCATTGATATTTCTAAGTTATTAAGCGGAGTTTACAAGAGCTACAGCGAAGAGCTGTATTAAAATCTTTGTATACCAAAGGTAAAATTTTAAGGCCATAGAGTTTCTGTAATGTAAGAATATGGGGTAACACTAGTATATTAGACCCTGCTGTAGCATGTACAACCATGCTCTCTGAAGTATTGACATGCTTATATGGTAAGTGTATATGTATCTACAAAAGTCCTTTAGGAAGTCTGCCAAAGATTATTAGGAGCATGAATGAAAGGACAGAAGATAAATGGAATGCTTACTGTTATACTGTCTTTCTTACATGTGGTATCTGTATGGTATCTCTCATTTGATTGAAAATTAACTGCACTTCACTAGATTTTCCTCTGTATAAACCGTGTCCTAAGATACTATTTAGGCTAGCTGCCAGTGGAAGAGAGCCCTTTTTGTTACCAGATATAATCTAATTGAGGATAAAAAAATTGTATTCTGTTTGTGTTTTTTAATGTAATTTTTTAGGAAACTGCATGAAGCCGTACCTAGTTTTTTGTCTAAATACTATAAACATTTCTGTATAATGTGTCCTTTATTTGATGTATGGGCATACTCTTTTGTAAGGCGATATCAGCCCTTCGATTTTGATGAAAATTTTGCAGGGGAAGGCTTTACTGAGATCAGAAAACCATAAAAATTTGATCATAAGCAGTCTCATATTTACTTTCAAATTTTGTGTATTTCAGTGTCTGAGTTGCCAGGCAAGGCAGGGAGGAGGAGTTACACTTGCCTTGCCCAGTGGGGCTAGAGAAAGCAATGAGATATGTTCTTGAGTAAGCCATAAGCACCCACAGTTCTGCCAGATGAGCTGCCTTGGAAATTTTTTTTCCCCAGACTCAATACTGCAGCCTCATCTCAAACCATAATCCCATAATTTTAGGATGAGTTGTGCTTGACTAGAGTGTGCACACAAATACTGTTAACTTTGCTCTTTAACTCCTCATTTTCTTTTAGCTATTTAATGTGGGAGTTTCCTGCTTTCATTTCATTTCTAATATGATGTCACTAAGTATGCAGTGCCAGAGAGAGAAATAACAGGCAGGTGAGAGCATGTTAATCTGATTTCTTATTGTCTCAGTTTGCAGAGGAATATGAGAGAGCTGAAAAGTTGGTTGCCGAGAAATCCAATGAAGCTTGATAAGGAGGCCCTACCTGATCTGGAAGAGACAGATTGCTACACAGCACCCTTTAGCCGTGCGCGCATACACCAGTAAGTGCTGGAACTGGAAAGGCAGTGCCAGAGACCACAAGGATTTTTTTATTTTCTCACTTCTTCTAAGCAAGTGCCATAGAGGCAGCCGTTAACAGATGGTCACTGGCAAATATCCAGTATCATATTTGATATTTTCTATGGGTTTTCTCTTAAAGCCAAAATGTACTCTCTGTTACTTGCTATTTAATGGTCACTCAGTAATGTAGGCAGAAATTTGACTGAAAAATGAATACTGCCTTTTTCCTTTAGAAGTTTTTCTTTCCATTACATTACAAAATGCAAATACTTGCTCAAGTTTGCTTTGCTTAATTGCATATTTTACTTAGGCAAAACCTGAGACAGCTGTTGAAATTAGGAACACCTGGAGGCAAGCTAAAACCAGTGACGATTTTTTTTTCTTTCTTGTCAGATCTGCATTTTAAAAATCTTTTTGTCTCTGAAAGTATAAATACATATCCACCAAATAAAAAATGTATGTGTTCAAATCAGCATGTTGATGGTGATGTAGTTAAACTGTGCTATAAATTTTCTCAGGACCCAAAAAATTAGGTTTTAAAATTCTGGCTGTTTCTTTGTTTTTAAAGTATATTGTAATAATTCTTTTAGGAAATAAATGTTCATTTAAAGTAAAAGTATAAATGAGGCTAAATAGGAATTTTTTCTCCTCAGTAAAGAAGCTATATGCTAGTGGACTGACTTTGCCCTGGAAAGAGTAATTGTATTAGAATCTCTTTTTTTTTTTTTTTTTTTTTTCAGTAATTGACTATATTGTGTTGGATCAATCAACAGGTTTAGGTGTTGTTTCTCTACCAGCTCAGCTGACGTTATCAACTTGAATAGTGTCACTGTTGGCACAGCTGAGTAGGCAAAAGCTCCTGCATGTCAGATTTCTGAAGTCCGGAATCCAGAGCCATCTGGAAAAGGATGCTTTATTTGGCTCCATCCTAGGATTCTGTAAGGGAAAGTGGTGGTGGAGCTGCTACTGAAGTGTCCAGTGCGTTGGAGAACATTCATTTTTTTTCTAAATACCAGTTCTGGTGGTTCCATGACAGAGACATCTGCCAACTCATAAGTAACTTGAATTTGAGAACAGCCGCTGCTTCTGAAGATCTTTTTAAAATTAATTATATTGAGAACAGAAATGACCTAGAGAGTAGGACATTATAGAATTCAGTTTTAGTTGCTCTGTTTTCCCAGCAATAATCTCTGATGATGATAAATTTATTGAACCCAAGAAGATGCTCTAGGCATGTAAAATCTTATCTCTTGTGCAGTAACCAAGGAGGGTAAAGATTCAATAAATCACTGTAAGAGGAAAACACTTGAGCAGCTATGTTTGAACACCTGTGCATTGTTTTGAATATTAAAAGAAATTCTTTATTTTAATAGTTTTACGATAAACAACAAAGACAGCTTCTTCAGCAATTCCACAAGGAGTAGAATTGTGCATCACATGCTACAGAGAACAAAGTACGAAGATGGAAAATCCAAAATGGGTGAGAATGCTGTAGTTCCTTCCTAACCTGAAGCTATAAAAATTTTATGTCTTTACTTGCCTGAAAAAGTATAATTTGAGTAAACTAATCAATTTTGCTGTTCCTTGAAATCTTTTTGCTCACTCAGTAACAGAGTTGAATGAATGTCACATCCATTATTTTCTTAAATGACTCAGTGAAAATTGGCAATATTTTTCACATAATTACTCATTCTTTAAAATAAATTGGAGTCATTGTGATAACTTTACACGATTGAGAGCCACAATAAAGATAGCATATATCTCAGAAAAGTGTCAAGTGTTCTCTAGGGCTGGTCCTGGAAGTTCTGCTACTACCCAGCAGTTCTAGTCCAGCAGAATCAATATGAGCTGTACTTTTTTGAGGTCTCCATGAATCTCAGGGATAGTTGACCTGAAGACTAAATTCCACTTATATCAGCTCTCCTATTAAAGTATTGTTTTTAGAAGGTCTAACTATTCATTTTCATTTGCAATGAACAGGGGATGTATGTATGATTTCGCATTTTCTTTGCAGGAATTAAATTAAGAATGAAATAAGATGACAGGAATTACAGAAGTTTGTTGTTTGAGTTTCTGAATAAAAGCAGTAGTAGGAAAAACATAGAAAACAAGGGTTCAAATCTAATGCCTTTCAAGTTGATGTCAAATTTAGTTATGAGATTAGGTTACCATAATTTGTATATTTGAATGGACAAATCTGAAAACCGTCATAAGTACTTATTTCTTGGGGAAACTGTTAGCTGTGGTTGTGCTCTTACAGGCTACTGAATCTTTTCAGTAGAATTGTTAATGGTTATTTATTATTTATTTTTTATAATGTGCTTTGACAGTACAACAAATCTGTTTTTAGGAAGACTCTAGGAACTGATCCAAAATGCTGTAGCCAGTATGATGAAGAGCACTGCTCTGATACAAACTCCTTCAGCTGGCTTATATTGAAAAATAATGACAGGTTAGCTTTTAACCCTGCAGGAGTTTTGCTGCTTCAAGGATTGTCTGTCCATACCACTCTGTGTATGTCAGATCATCTGGTCACCCATAAAATCTGTATCGTCTGCTCTGATGAATACAACGTGAATGTAACTATCTTCTCACACTTGATCTGGCATGAGCACCAGCCCCTGAGAGAACAATTGCATACACTGGCTCTCAGTAAGTTGCTGTAGTTTGACAGAGCCAGAAGTCTCAAGGGATCAGCAACACCTGCACACACAGTTGGAGGGATTATTGATGATTTTTATGTTTAGTGGCATCCTGAGCATCTAATATTATGTTATCTTCTCAATATGCAACTGGAAAATTTGCACTGCTGGAAATTAAATGTGTATAAAGAAATGATATCTGAATGAATGCTTGTTTTCTCTTTAGGTATTAATAGATTGCTAAATAATGGAACATATGAAGCAGCATTTCCACCACATGAGGTAACCTGGTTAATTTTGTATTTGTCATTATATTTAGATTAAAACTTTAATGTTTTGAGATCCTACTTTAATTTTGTCCTGCAAACTTTTAATTTCACTATGTAATCTGTTGAGACTTTTTTTATTTATAGCTCTTACTTTAATATTGGCTTTTAACATTTTTCTTATATAAAGCACTATAATAATTTCCTGGAGCATTTTCTTACTGAACTAGAATATTATAATCCTTTTTAAAATTATTTTTATGAACCGGACATTGCATGTGGAGTTCTTAATGAGAATATCAGTTGTTCCACATTGTTCCAATTAGTTTTGTTAAATTATTTTTGCCTGCCACCTACAAAATGTTCTGTTTTTCTAATAGCTTGTGCACTTGATAACAGTTAGGGAGACTGGTTAATTATTTCCCATTTAGTCTTTTCTCAATTGTTCTGGATAAGTTCTACTTGATAGTATCTTCTTCAGTAGGCTAAAGTCTACTGGAGACAGTAAACCTGAGAAGTAAATCAAAAACTTGTGTTTGACTTCAGAGGGTTTTTAGACAATCTTTGTGTTTTGAAAAGAAAAAGGCAAGCTACACATCTTCAGTCATTTTAAATGCTGATCAGGAGGTTGGTAATTGCAGCTGTGGACTCTGTGGTTGCTTGGGCTGAATATTGTGACTTGGTCCCATGTTTCAAAGGACTGACCTGTGCTTTACAAATTGGTGAGAGTAATTTTTTTTATATGGTATTAATAATTAAATACTGGGAATATAGAGATAAGCACATTTTAGATAAATAATTTAACATATTTTTTAACGCTTCAGCTGTGCTTTACTGACTTTAGGGAAAGGCTGGCCATACTACCAGAAAAACCTGTGAAACTTTCTCCGGCTGTCAAAACCATGCTGTCATATCCATTTTATGTATACATTCCTTTGTTATGGCATAAGCTACTGTTTCAAAATTTCAGTTAAGTTAATGAAGTCAGGCCTAGAAGGACTCCTTTTGGGTCAGACTGATTCTGCATTTTGCTTTTAATACCTCTGAGAGTCCTGTGTAGCTTCAAAATAATGCCAGTTCTTTTGTTGCCATTGTCTTAGAAAATATGTACACAGAAAGACTGTTTTTCTATACTTTTAAAGGGGAGTTAAAGTCATAGAAAATGTCTAGGAGAGGAGGACTGAGCTAACATACCAGAAATTTCCTGAATTTTTTTTCAGAGAGAAAAAAAGATACTGCAAACATCTCGTGACAAATTTTGAAAAATTTTGAAAAATTGAGATAAATGAAACCATGCAAATAAGCATATATTAGTGAAATGGAAACACTGTACTTGAAGCCATGTAGATCTGAATAATTCTTTATAGTCTTGTACTGGTATGGTTGCATCTCTATGTATACATACATAGAGAAACTGGCCATTTCAGAAGCATATGAACCATATTGCTTCTGTCAGGCTTACACCTCAGCTCCAATGACATGTCCTAGAGGTGGCCATAATAAGAGACCTATTTATTAAAAATAGTGAACACCTTATTTAAAATTACATTCAAAAATATGTAAGAAATTTAGATATATTTTCCATAATGCCTAGTAATATGCGTCCATTTCTTTGTGTTTTTCAGGGAAGCCACAAAAGCAGACATCCCATCAAAACACATGGAGCTCAGAATCACAGACACCTCTTATATGAACGTTGGGCACGGTGGGGAATGTGGTACAAATACCAACCTCTCGATTTAATCAGGTATTAGTACTTTGAAGGGTAGCGTGTACAAACAACCTGGTAACAGTGCATGAACCGCACTGCTAGATTCCTTGTGCTTTCCTGTAACATTTAGCTATTCAACATTTTACAGGAATTCTCTGGGTGGTCTTTTGTGCAGGGCTGTTAATTTAAAATGAGGCTGCATAAAAGACACATAGATCCTGCTCCTTGACAATTTGCAGTGTGAAACTTAAAATACAAAGCCACAACGTGCTCTGCTGATTAGAGACACTTGCCCCTCATGAAAGCACCTTTGAGAGCAAAGACTGTTACCCACAGGGGCAGTCAGTTACAAGATCCAGTGGAGTGAAATTGCAGCCTAATTGTTACATTTCCATGTGTTTATATGTCAGTTTATATATCTTATAATTAAAGTCATGGATTACCAGATGTAAAGCAGAGAAATATATGTCATTGAAGTTAAATAATTGTGATGATTGGGTTTCATACTTTCCTCATCTTTGACACTGAATACCAACAATTCATTTTTCCTTGCTGTCAACTTTTATTCCTGATCTGACAGCCATAACCAATCATTGTGCCAAGTAATGTTTCACTGAACGTTACATGCCATGGGACAATTCTGTGCTGATGACCATAAGTTTTAACTTTAAACAATGTATGTGTTTCCTTCTCATATAGGCGATATTTTGGTGAAAAAATTGGACTGTATTTTGCCTGGTTGGGGTGGTATACTGGAATGCTTATCCCTGCTGCCCTCGTTGGGCTCTTTGTTTTCCTTTATGGATTATTTACGATGGATTCCAGCCAAGTGAGGTAAAATCCCATTTAAAAACGTAATAGCCTGTTGAAAATTAAGAACAGTCTGACACATCTTAGATCATTATTATACTTAACGCTTTCCAGATATGATAATCATGTAAAAATAACCAAACAGAACACTGGGTTCTTCAGTCAAGTGTGTACACTCTGTGTATCTGTTTTGCGTCAAGTTGGATGCATACCGTTCATAGCAAGTGCCCTTACGACTGCGTCACAGTGATTCCCATCCTGTCTGTAAGGAGAAACACCAAATACTGATTCTACTGTTGTAGGTACTGCAGTGGTGGTCATTCCAGTCAAGGCTAACAAGGTGAAAAAACAGTCAGACATACTCCCTCTTTACATCTTGCCTGTAACTTCCAGAGTGTAGTACAGTTCTAAACTTCAGATTGCTTTTGTCTATGCCTTTTTATTCTCCCAGTGTTAACAGTGACAAACTTCGAGTCTAACAAAAGTCTTAGCTGTGTCAGTGTAAGCTGCAGACAGGAGACCCACCTTCAGGGAGATTACAACCACATGAAATGAAGCTAGTTTTCCAGATTCCTACTGTTGTGATCTTTCTCTGAGAGGGGTTTGTCAGTTTAGAAATAGTGATGGGGGTGCTTAAGTGCTGACTGTGTTTTTAGGAACTGTTTCAGAGGATGCATCCTTATCACAAAGTTTTCCATTAGATGTCATCAGACATAACAGTTATCAGTGCTCTTACAATTGCAACTGTTCCTCCAAGCAGGCTGGATGCTTAGGCTATAAGTATCCTTGGAGTCAGATTTCATAGGAAGTGTTGTTTCTTGGCCTTTGAGCAAGACCATTTTACATTTTCTTTATGGAATTGTCTTTTTCCTCTATTTCACAGTGCGTTATTACATCCTACGGTACAGTAATTAAGGCTTTTTTAGTCTTGCTTTTGTACAGCAAACTCCTGAGAGACTTTACAACTTCAAACTGCATTAAATACAATTAAATGCAATAAATGTATCAGCCAGGAAACTATGCTATCTTTAGGGTATTGTTCTCTGTATTAGGATTGTTTTGCACAATTAATGTCTGCAAAATGCAATGGATGTAAAGCAGAGGATCAGCCTGTTCTTAGAGCACAGGGACCAGGACTGTTGAACTGGGAATTTTGTATTCTTCACATGTACAATGGCACAGTTTGAACAAGGGGTGAACAAGGGACCATAACCTGCTATTATCAGGGTACAGCTTAATATTTCAGGCACTCGTCCTGGAAGAGAAAGATGTGGCATTGACACTCCCCAAGAGAAAGAGCAGAATTTCTCAGAATTTATTTTTTTCAAACTGTAAGCTATTATGTGCTTCTCCCAAGAAGACTTGGAGATATGCCTCCTGCTTAGTTCTTTTAACAGAGACACAGTTATCTTACTCACACAGTGTTGCAGGGTATAAATCACAGAAGCACAGGGATAAGCTAATTTTCATGTTTTCCTGACCTAAGTTTTTCCCCTTGGCTGCTGTTGAGTCGCTGCAGACAGAACATACAGATTGTGTTTGTTCCCCATGGAGGCTGGTTGTGTTAGGTCCCATCCCAGGGTGCCTCAGTGTCATGCTGTGGTACACGGAGCACCGAGGGTATACCCATCAGAGGCTCTGGACTCTATTGCAGAAGCAAGAGCCTGAAAGTTCAGTGATTCACCATATAAGCCCTAGATGCCTACAAGGGGAGGGGAGTATCTATATATTTATTATGGCTAACGTTAGCCAGTGTTCATTTCAAAATACTGACAGAGGGTGGGTTAATGCAGAAGCCTGAGCTGTGTGCTCTGTGGCAGCCTCACATCTGTAGTGTTAATTCTGGGTGTGTTAATTCTGGCAGAAGATCCTCTCTGCCGTTGAGGGTGTGAATCTTGTGCAGTCCCTCTGGTGAGTTGTGACACAATTCTGTCGTGTCAGTGCATTGCTATGACCAAGTTAGTAAGACCTACTGTGAGATGTGTATTCAAGAACAGAGCTTAACTAACTCCAGCTGATTGTGACTGGCCTGATGAAATGTCTGTAGATGTGTTCTGTATCACCATGTGTACTTAGGCAATTCTAAAGGCCGGTGATAAGAGATGCTGCTCCTTGTCGTGTTTGCTCACTTAGCCTGGAAGAGGTTAGTGAGGGTTAGACAGAAACATCCTACCTAGAGCAGGCAGGAGTCACCCATTAGCAGGCACACAGACTGCACAACCTGAATGTTCTTATTCTTGCCATATTCTGGGACTGTGAGATTATTTATCTAGGGTTTCTGCAGTCATTTAAAGAAAACTGCTAGATAAACATCTATAACATTTTGAAAATAGATAACTTGATTTTGAGCACTGCAGCTATCTCAGTAGGCAAACGCAACGTTCAGCAGCCATCAGGAAGACATGGAGTCGAGTATGTTATTCTGACAAAATCTAGACACAGGAAACCCAGTGGCAGTTAGGAATTTAAACCTAGTGCCAGGGCATTATGGCAATGTCATAACTGCCCCATTGGCCCAGATTCAGTATTATTCAGTATAACACTACTTCACATGAAACAGGTCTCATCCTGTTACTAGGAATCAGCGGGTGTTAGGGTATGATAAATTCAGTCAAAACCCCGTATTTTTCATCTGTATTGTGTACCACAAAATCTGAACTTCTTGGCTGATCCCGTAATTTTTGCAGAAGCCTGCCCTCCTCAGTGATGTCCCTTCGCCTCTCCGGCGCAGGCAGCTGCCCTGAGCCCCCCTCTAGCGGCTGCAGGCAGAAAACGATCGGTTGCTGCTTTCTCCACTGAGGTCCAGCGCAGTCCCAGCAGAGGAGGAATAAGCAAATAGACGAGCATACATTACTGTAGAACCAAACGTTGCTTGCAGAGCCAGCAACAGGTTTTGCACAGCAATAACTCGAGGGTTATGCAGAACGATGTCACACCTAAGAACTAGTTTATGACTTGTAAAAGTGCCTGCCTCTGTGCCATGCTCGGGGTCAGTCGTGGTACCTGGTGGCTCTTTTTATATATGTATAACAATATATTTATATATATACACATCAGCCTGTGCCAGGACCCCATCCCAGCCTGGCATGGAGCCGTCAGTCCCTGCCTGCTGTATAAATATATATGTATGTGTACATATATATGAATATATGTGTATCTGTATATATATGTAAATATATGTGATATATATATATATATTTCATATTTATGTGAGGACAGTGTAAACAAGCTCATTTGGCTCTGTTATACTGAAGATTTGAGTTGCAGTAACAGTTAACATGACACCTGTCACAAACACTTGGGTCACAAATGTTATTGCCTTTGCAGAGTAGTGTCAAAGTATGTGGCCTATCACTGTGAGTATAATTTTGTGAAATTTCATGTTACTAAAACCAAATAAAGATTTTAACTCAAGATATATAATACAGAAAATCTAACATTTATAATGTTGACTTTAAATTCAAAGTCCAGTACAATTGGCCTTATATTTGACAACAGCTTGTATTATTGCCAAACCTTTATAACATACTGTTGAAATATTATTTTCTCTGCTTAATCATTTGAATGAAAATGCAAGCAAGAAAACTCTGATGTGACACACTATAAAATTTCTGTTACTCTGCAACTCTGAAATGACTGGCTGTGCTCATTCTGACTTAAGGGTTATGTAGAGCAATTTCTTTGCCAGGTCCACATAATGTTGTAGGTTTCAGTGCATTAGTGATTCTGATGTTATGTGAAGTATGACCGAAGATTGTAAAAGTGACATCTGGGCAACCGGACCCTTTTATTTCTATTTACTGTTATGTCAGACAGGATTTAATAGATGCACTCATTTGGAAATAAGCCTAATCTTCCATGCAGTATTAGAACTCTAAGTTCAGCTTTTATGAGGAGGACAGTGAAAGCATGATGTTTATTAAAACAAATCAGTAGAGATTTCCTGGCATTTGTTTATACTGCTGCTTTCCTAGTGTGTCATAGGATCATTTCAGGCACATCAACATTGCTAAAGGACAGGGAAATGCAATTGCTGAGGTTCTTTAGGAAGCTTACTCACTGCAGTTAAAATTTACCTTAAAATTCATTTTTGCACTTCTGTTAACTCTGATTTGCCTTTGACAAGACACTTAATTATGAAATTGCATTTTAAAAGTGAATGATTTCAATGAAGGCAGTGACTGCATCTTCCTCAGTCTTAGGATCTTTAGGCAGTAGAATGTGGTTTGAAGATTTTTTTCCCCAAAGTTAGGATATTAAAGTGGTTTTTTTTTTTTAGTAGCCCTATACATATTTTCTGTAGGAAATAAAAATCCAAAGACTTGCAATACTACTGCCAGAAATCCCTGTCAATGGATTTTTACATGTAACAGACTGATCTAAGTATACATGTGATCATCCTCTGGAACAGACATCCAGCTGATGTAAACTGGGATAAGTTAATTGAAATCAGTGTAGTTATACCCACAATGTCCATTCTCTTAATGTTTGGTATCTTCTCCATCACTTAGAAAAATACGCAGTAAATGGGTTTTAAGGTAGTGAACAATGTTTTGTTCTTCTCTTTGTGATATATGGGAGAGGATGGGATATTCGCAAGTGTGAGAAGTGTAGCATGGTGCCCAAAAATACTTCATACTACTCTAGGGCTCATAGTTTTCAGGTTACTGCTTTGGGATTAGGCTTTTCAAGCCAAACATTCACTTTTAATTTATTTTATTGAGCCAGTTTTGTGATGTAGGCATACTGGTAACAAATAGAGACCACAAACAGCTTAACCTCAGAAAATCTTAAGAATGCTGAAAGCCTTTTTTTAACCCTTCTTTTCCTGTCTCATACTAAAGCAAAGAGATCTGCGAGGCAAATGAAACCATCATGTGCCCTATGTGTGAACGCAATTGCACACTACAAAAACTCAATGAAAGCTGCATATACGCCAAGGTAATTATTGTCTTATTGCTATCAAGATAATTTTTGTCTAAAGATCCCCTCTCACTGTGTAGTGTCTGTCCTTGTATCAGAAAAGATTCTTGCAAAACATGTTGTTTCTCTTCAGAGATTTTTTTCAGCCTTTGTAATTCATGTTTCCAATAAGGGGATGCTCTGAAATTGGATTAGAGATTTTCCTGAAATTTGTTTTACTTTCTGTGAGCATTTGCTTCCTAAATCCTTATTATTTTCATCAATTTATCATGTCCCCTGAGTAACAAAACTTTCTGGCAAGGTTTTTCCTGCTTTCCCCTATAATTAACTTCTTACTCTGTTTCCCTTGCTTATTTTGTAATAGAATTTCTGCTTCTCCTAATGGAATTCTCTAGCATAATGTGCCTGTAATGGGCTTTGCTCTGTCTGCAAAGATTTTACACAACTAAACATTCTGCTACAAGAAGCTGTCTTTCAGACTTAAATAATCACAAGTACTTCTGTACACATTCAGTCCTTTCAAGCAAGAAATATATTTTGATGTGTGGTATGTTCATAATGCTGGAAAAGCAGCCTTGGCATTTTTTTTGGAATTCTTTGGCCCATAAGACAAATCTTGCTCAGAAGCCTGTGCTTATAAAATGTGATCGTCTCTGGGCCGTGACATTAAAACAACACTGCGGCAATGTGAAAGAGAAATAAATTTTTGTCTTAGATTTCAAAATTTGGAATACATAGGACCAATGCTGAATAAAACATTTGTCATTGTGGCATCCCTTTAAATTTAGCTCCTGTTATTTTGACATGTGCTGTTAACAAGAAGCAGTTTTTGTCTTATTTGTATTTACACTAAGATCCTTGCTTAAATCGTGCAGATTTCACATTTTAATAATTGTGGAATATTAATTGCAGCAGAAAAAATGTGGCAGCTCATCCATACTTCCATGTATTTTCAAACCAGTCCCACTGAAACAAACTCAGATGACAGACAGGGAAGACAAGCAGTAACCACTCATTCCATCTTCGCAGGCAGCCTTTTCTGGCGTCTGCAGATATTATGGAAATTCATGTAAGCTCCCAACATTTCCTGCCAATACTTTTGCTCTGAAAAACTGATCAACCTTAGACTGGAACACAGAAAACAACCCAAAATTATCTCCTTTCAGGATTTGCCTCTTCTGAATCTCCCCCGAGTAGGGGAGAGAGAGACTTCTCTTTAGGGAAGAGTAGGATTACCATCTGGCCACTTGAATGGCAAACTGAAAAAAAAAAAGCTCAATAAGGCTTTTTATAATTCTGAGGTTATAACCGTAATGCCTTCATTCACTGTGTTGTCTCTAAAGAAAAGTTCACTGCAGCTTCACTCATTACCCTCTTGCTGGGAAGCCTCTGGTTTCCAGCAGGGGTTGTGATCCTGCTGAGGGCCACCACGTTGCTCGACTTGAGCCGTGCATACCCTAATGTGTGTCAGCACTGCAACTGTATCTGCACCCAAATTAGTGAATGAAAGCAATCTGTAATTTTAGAAAACTGCAATCTGTTTTCAAATCAATTGTTCCTTTGTACTTTCTGAAGCACTGTTAGTAATATCAGTAACTGGAACTAATATATTTAAAAATAAAGTATCACATGTGCTCTCTGGAAAAAGAAAATGGCATTTCTTGCTTGCTTTCTTGCTCCTGAGATGAAGCCTCTAAGTGTTCCCCTCTGGCTGTTGTGGGAACATAACTTATTTCTCTGTCTTCCTTGCACACAGCCAAGGGAAGGGAAGCTATTGCACACAACCGAAGAGATGATATGCAAGGACACTATCCCTGATTTATTCCAGGAATCAGTGCCCTTATTCTGGAATACGTGTTTTAATCTTTATTCATTTGAATAGCTCATTGTATACGAGTACATAAGCACTGAGTTAATTAGGAAGAGTGAGTTCCTTTAAGTGAAGTTTATCTCCCCAAACCTCCTAAGTCATGGGACCTGCCGCATTTATACAAGGCCTTGTGCTCATATTTCATGTTATTAAAACTGCTGTCAGGGTTTCTTTCATTAAGTATCTGCCAAGTTTCCCCATAGAAGAGCACTTCAGACAGAACAAACTTAATGCCAGAAAAATAATATACTTCAAATGTGTTTTTTTTCTGCCAAGTTTTCTGTAAAGCTGGAGACAAAATACAAAAGATGCCCTTTCCTTCTTGTTCCCATTTCTTTCATCCCCTCCCTCTTTATTCCATTTCCATTTAAAAATGCCACACTGAAATGCAGTTGATAATTTAAGGGAAAGGCAGGTAATACTTGAGCTGTAATCTGAATTGCTGAATGCCCAGGCTGTCATTCTCATCCGCATTGAATGGACTCTTTGATCTGTGGGTGTTTATCGAGGTGCACGAGGGCTCTCTGGGCTGGTCCCACACCCAGCACAGCTTGTCCTCAGGCCCCAGGGCAGGGTGTGGATTCAGGGTGGATTTGAAGTGTCTGAAGTCTTATATGATGATGACATCGGTCAGGTGCGCTGGCTGACTAGCACCGAGTCTTACAATGTTTCACCTCTGGTCAGCTCAGACTGTCAGACTGCACATTTAACCTTTAAGACAGTCAAATCTTAATTCTGAGTGTGGTGCTGAAAGACTGTCACTCAAATACTTTTTATAAAGACAATGGTAGATTGGGAGACAGATACATATCATCTACTTTTAGCAACATTCATTCTGCTGGGTTAGGTTTGTATGTTTGGTTCATTTTGTATTTCCTTGGAAAGATGCACTCTGCTGAGCAGAATATCCAAAATAACATCCTCACACAGATCTACACTCAAAACTGAAAATGTTATTTATTGTTATTTATTGTTAAATGTTATTTATTGAACTGCTTTTGTTCACCTCTTACATTTTCAGTGTCATACCCATTGTGTTTGTGTTTTCCTTTATGGAAGCAAAATAAAAATAAAGCAAAAGACATATTTGTATGTACAGTTGATCCCACTGTATGATTCATGCAGGGGACATACTGGATTTATTGATATCCAATACCAAATAATCAATTCCCATTTCAGAACCTTAAGAAAAGAGAAACAGAACTGACATACAGATAAAATATATGTGTTTTTAATAAATTCTCCTATTAACTTTTTCTGCTTTCCTGACTTAGTTTTCTTAATTTGTGAGGGAGGAACAATAATGCCAGCCTTATCTACAAGAATGAGAATCTGTCAGCAGGATGAGTTCTTGCAGCAGGCAGCTCTTGCAGGAGCGGGTTAGGTAACCTGCCCGAGGCAGGCTGTTAGACCCAGCATCCCATATTCCTG